CTTTGATGTGTTTTTATCTAATATATCATAGAAACATTTTGCTCAATTTATGTCTGATATAATTTCTTTAAAGTATAGCGGTATGTCTGGGCCAATGCTTTCCTGTGTGATATTATACATTATATTGTATTTATTTAAAACTGCTTTACTGATAAAATCATACCGTTGAAAATTAAGATATAAGATTTGACATTGTATCTATTAATAAATTCATTATAAGATTGAAACTTTCCATCAGGTGCTATTAGGTGTTCGCTGTTATAAACACCAGCATCGAACCACGATTTAAATATACGCTTTTTAAACCAATGAATATGTTATTGTTATAAAATAAAGGGTGTTTTCCGAAAGAATGATTTTCAATTGGATTTAATTCTATATATCGTGATAAGGCTGTAAAAGTGTCCTTCCAAAAATTGTTTGTTTCTTTTGCAAATTTATCAAAGTAATGGTTTCCGCAGTGACAAAAACGTTTGCATATATATTTTGTCGTAAAGAATGCTTTTCCATCTAGCATTTGAGATTATTTTTTAAATCATGTTATTTTTAATGACATAATAAAGGCAGAAATATTTATCACCTGAAGCTGCCCTCAGCATAGTTTTTATGCCCCCACAAAGTGGGAGCATATAGCGTTGCACTTGTCCGTCCGTCTGTCCGTCCGTACGTCTGTCTGTCCGTACATCCCGAAATCTTGTGAACGCAACTCCTCTTAAACCGGATGACAGATTTTGCTTAAACTTACAGGGATGAACAACCTTAATGTGTAGATGGCAGTAAAGGAAGGATTTTTTTGCTGCGACCAAATTTAACAGAATTATGGCCCTTTGTTGATTTTTTCATTATATACTATGTAGAAATTTTGTGAACGCAACTCCTCTTAAACCGGATGGCAGATATTGCTTTAACTTACAGGGAAGAATAACCTTAATGTGTTGATGGCACTAAAGGAAGAATTTTTGCTGCAATCAAATTTAACAGAATTTTGGCCCTTTGTTAATTTTTTCACTATATACCATAAAGACATTTTGTAAAACGCAACTCCTCTTAAACCGGAATGACAGATTTTTGCTTTTACCTTACAGGGAAGAAACAACCTTTTATGTGTAGATGGAATTAAAGAAGGAAATTTTTGCTGCGATTAAATTTAACAGAATTATGGCCCTTTTTGTTAATTTGTTCACTATAATACATAAAAAGAAATTTTTGTGAACGCAAACTCCTTCTTAAAAACCGGATGGGGACAGATTTTGCTTACACTTCCAGGGATGAACAAAACCTAAATGTGTTAGATTGGTAGTAAAGGAAAGGAATTTTGCTGTGACGAAATTTTACAGAATTATGGCCCTTTGTTGTTTTTAGTTTTCAACTTGTGGCACATGTAGTCTAAAAAATATTTGACAAAGAGTCATAAGATTGACAGAACTGTGGCGTGTGGGGGCATCCGTGTCATATGGACACATTTCTAGTTTTTACCATAACGCAAGACTTAATTTTAACATTTCCTTGCCAAATAAAAACATAAAACATTTTATTTAATACACTGATAACATCTTCAGAAGGGTTTGGTAGTGAAATGAATAAATGATTTAGAGATGAAATCAAACGAGAACTTATGACAGCAACTTAACATATTGGTGTGAGATTTCTTCTTTTCAAATTTTGAATAACCTTTCGGATATTTTCTATTCTTCCGCTATAGTTTAAATCTATTATTTAACTTAAGTCAACATGAAAATTTATGCCTAACATTTTAAATTGATGTTGATTCCAAGACAATTTCCATCTTGTTTTTATACTGTTTTGAGAATATTTCTTTTACCCTATCCACACAACCTTAGTCCCGATAGTTTTGCAAAATCTGACAAGATTTCCAAAGATTTATTTAAAGACACACATGATCCATCTAAAATCACTGTTTTGTCTTCTGCAAATTGTGACAATTTATGATGTTTATTCTTTTAATAATCTTATCATTTCTTATTTTTAAAGCTAGAACTTCAGCACATAATATAAAAAATATAACATATCTTTGTCGACAACCTCTTACCACAAAAGTACCTAAATCTTTCCAGAATACCTTATAAAAATCAGCACTTAAGCCTGATGTCCCCGGGCTTTTATCATTTGCCATATTTTGTAGAATTTACTTGCTTCTTCATAACTTATATAGCCTTTTAATAGATTAGATTCCGGTTAACTTAAAACCGGTGCTTCTATATTTTCAACAAATTGTAAAAAATGATCATTTGGATCATATGACGACTTTTTGCTGAAAAGAGTTCTATAAAATATTCAATTTCTTTTAATTTTAACTGTTGATCATTTAGAATACTACTGTCATCTTTTTGAATCATATGTATAACCTGTCAATGATATCAAACAGTTCACTGTAAAAAAATGGTTTGACCTGTTATTTGGACTGTAAAATATTTAAAGGGGGTTAATCTACTTCGTATTTTTCCTCAATTGTTAAAAATCTAAAAACATTAATAAAGATTCCTTTTTTTTATCCAATACTGTCTTGCTGTGAATTTTAATATTCAAATATTTTTTTTAAAAAAAAATTCAACTCCCCGTGAATTGATTGTCCCTTGGGAGACTCAGGAAAACATTCCCACTATTCCATTTTCACAGTATATTTTCTAAAACATTTTACGTTTTACGTTGAATCTTGTAAACAGGTAAATATTGCATTTTTTTCGGCCCTTAAAATTTTAAATAACTCAATTCTTTTTCTTTGAACCCGCTAAGACATCTAACCAACTTTCCAAAGGGATTGGATTTTTAGCAACTTGCAATTCATCTAAAACGTATATTTGAAAAAGAAAAAAAAATACATGCTTCAAGGAAGGTAATGTGAACAAAACACAAACAAATCAATAAATAATTCTTACAAACATAAACAGATACAGACACACACACACACATATATATATATATATAAACAAAATCAACACAGAAAGGACAATTGTTCCCAGTATAAAAAATGAGAAAAATAAATAAATCACTTATAGACCGGATATATTTTTCATTTTGTATAAATGCAAAATTGTGAGGGTAAAATGAACCCAGATGGCCGGACTATTCTTCTTTTTCTTTTGTGTATAAACAAGCCCTTAAAAGACACTGTCTTCTTTTAACCAAAATAATTTAGTTGAAATAAATATAGCTTAAATTAAAAAGAAAAAATAATTTGAAAACAACGAGCTTAACTTTAGATAGGAGCGTCTTCTATTTTCTTAAAAGCTTACATCTATTTCTTATAGACAAATTACTGTGTAAAAGAAACATACAGAAAAATGCAATTTCTAACACAAAAAAGTTTCATTGTGAAAAAAGAGAACAGTTTCCCCAAAACCACTAGATATTAATTTTTGGCATCATATATATTGAAGCATACATTAAATGCTAAGTGGTGATTCCAGCAGAGATATAACGATATATCGTTGTAGGAACACTTACATGATCATGGCAATGAATTGGCATTGACTGTCAAGGTCAAGCTATTTATTGGCCTTATTTTGTTATTTACTCACATATTAGATTCATACTTCGACCAGAGAACACATGACAAAACCGAATTATTCCGATATGAGTTTGACCTTTAATTGACCTTGACCGTGGAGTAGAAAAATAAAAGTATTTGTTACAAAAAAATGATGTTTTGTAGAGAAGTCCTCACTATAATATTCTTCCTCTGATGTATTTTACTTTTGAAATAAGAAAAAGACGAGCATAACCCCTGCTAGACAATGGCTCTTGCAATAAATGAAATAATGTTAGCAAGACTAATATTCTCTCTAAATACATCAATTAAAATTGCATGGCATAGTGTAAACCTTATTAAACGCACAGTATTTAGAAGCCTCGTAAGCCATTGATCGATCAGGAAGTGACGGAATGTAATGTTTTTAAAAAGTTGAAGTACATTAAGCGTTTGTCATTTGTACATATACGGAAAAAATCTAGTTACGGAATAATCATCGGAAGCAGGTAATAACAAAATTACATTTTAAATGCAGACGCAGATTGAGTATGTTCATGAGAAATAATGGACAAGTGGAATACAAATATATATAATGAAGCAATTATCGACAATCTTATACGTTTCTGCAAGTGCATACATCTGAATCATAAGTTCTAGATTGTGTGTAAAATGAGTAAGTACAAAGGATGTTAAGCATGTGCTTATGAATGTTCGTTCAGATCTCGTAACTTCGCATCAAATGTTCTTACATTTAATTTGACACCATGCATCTGAAACATAATAAGAAGCTTGTCTGGGCGAGAATTCAACAGCAGATGATGTTCTCGTTGATAAAGGTGTTGTCTATTTAGTTGTATTTTTGCAAATTCGATCAATATCAAGTTCATTCAAACCATGATTGACCTTGCGTAGAGTCTTTTTTGAAATACCTTTTTTTAAATGCAATGCTTAAATGTCAAGTATTCGTTATGTATTATAATCTAATTAGCCTCCTTAATAATTGACGAAATCTGATTAGATATAAGTTGACCAAGGTTGCTCTACCTGAAGACATATTTCTCTTTTTTCAAGCTTTTTTTAATCATATACACCATAAAGTATTGGTCGCTAAAAATGTCAAAAAGTCTTGGCCGCAAAATAAATGTCACTGAGTCTTCGCCGATAAATAAACGTTATAAAGTCTTGGTCGTCATTTAGTCTTGTTTGATACTCAGCTACTTTAGAAATTATCGTGGATACAAACTAATGACGATTGTTTATTTTACTTGCAGATATTGTTCTACCTTTCTTTTAGATTCTATCTATGTTTTTGTAGAATTAGAATAATGAATTCTTAATCTGCATAATTTGACAGAAACACAATCTGTCAACAATTCCATTTTAAAATATCGACATTGCTGACATAAATTTGTATATTATGATAACGATTCTAAGCATAACTATATGTATAATAAGTGTTTAATGTAATTGTTTATTTTTTACAATAACTTGTACGTTTCATCATTTACAGATGTGGCTATAACACAGATGTAACAAATCAAGAAGAAAACAAATGGCAACCGGAGGTCAACAACAGACGCTAGACAACCGTATATTTTTGTTTCGGTTACAAATACTAGTCATTGATGGTGGCCTCCTGGTATTGAGAAATATACTATACCAGTCCCTGACATCTAAATCCATAACGTTCACAGCGTGCTTGAATCAAGAAAAGTCAACAATAACACATTTGAAAAGCCGCGGCGTTATAACCCAGGTCCAATATGACGTGTTATTTCCAGCGGGTGGTAAAGTCCCAGCTTCGTCAGATTTGGACATAACGCTTATTATTTGTCTTCTTAGAAACCTGAAATGTTTCGGATTAAATAAAAAATTTGACTGGAGTGCAACACCAGCACCAACCGATGTATCAAAGGAAGCAGACATATGTCGGTTAAAGGATTACCGAAATAAAGTAAGTCATTCGAAATGCAATTTTTAAATTCCTGCCTTGGCAATAAAGAAGAATTGAAATAAATGTATATATTGGCAATATAAATATCTACGCATATTAAAAGTAATAAAATTCTGCTGAAGTTTAACTTAAAAATGATTAAATCAATCATCAAAACTAAACACAAATATATTAGTACAACTTTTAATATTGTATAGACTAGACAAGACAATACCTTATTTGGTGTGGTGTGATGCAAATCTTCACAGTAGCTTTGAAGTCGTACTGAAAAGGTTAAAACATGAATATTTTTATTTTATCGTACATTTCTGATGCTTTTTTTTCGAGCTATCATTAAATGAAAATGTCTGGGCTTTGAGTTTTTTGTCATTAAATAATCCATCACGAAATTATCCTAGATTATATTGCTATCATCAAATAGGCTGAGATATTGATACAAATGTACTTTAAAAAAATCCAAAAAAAAACTGACGTCATAAAAACATTCCGAGATATAGCTGATTTTATAAACAAACTAAGATAAAACTGAAAGAATCCGAGATAAAATTGCAGGCATGAGAAAAATTCGAGATAATACTGCCGTCATGAAACAATCCGGGATATTACTGCAGTCAAGATACAATCAGAGATTATACTGCCGTCATGAAACAATCCGAGCTAATACTACCATCAAGAAACAATCCGAAATATTACAGCCGTCATGAAACAAGCCGAGATAAAACTGCCGTCATGTAACGATCCGAGATAAATCTTCCCTCATGAAACAATCCAGGATAATACTGCCGTTATTAAACAATCCTAGATAATCCAGCTGCTAAGAAAACAATCCGACCTGACGTCATGGAAACGTACTGAGATAATACTGCCGCCATGAAACATTCAAAGATAATACTGCCCTCATAAAACAGTCAAATATAATACTTCCATCATGAAACAATAATACTGCTGTCATAAAACAATTTAGCCGGGAAGAAAACAATCCCACCAGAAATTGACTTCATGGAAACATTCCGAAATAATACTGCCGCCATGAGACATTTTAAGATAATACTTCCATATTAAACATTCATGAAAAAAAATCAAAGATAATACTGCCTTTAACATAAATATTTTTAAATTTTGTATCGGACATTTCGGATGAAAATTTTTCAAGTTATCATTACTGTCATGAAAAATTCCGGGCTTTCATTTATGTCATGAAATAATTCTTCATGACATAATACAAGATGCTATTTATATCATAAAATATGCAATGATATAACTATTATCATTAAAATAATCCAAGATTAAGCAGCCGTCATAAAAATATCCGAGTTAAAACTGCAGCCAAGAAACAATCCGAGATAACACAGCATCATGAAACAATCCAAGATAATAATGCCGCTATGAAACAAATATAGAAATAATACTGCCGCCATGGAATAGTCCGAGATAATAATGCCGGTATTAGACAATTCGAAAAAATACTGCCGCCAAGAAACAATCCGAGATAATAATGCCGTCATAAAAGAAAATAAAGATAATACTGTCGCTATTGAATAAATCAGGTATGAAACAATCCGAGATATTACTGATATGAAACAGTATAGTTAGATTGAAAGTACATTTAATCGTTCTATTAATTCTACAAGCAAACCACTTTGGATTTTCCTATTTTGATGTATGTCTAGCTGTTTTGGATCGAGACCCCAGCCTAAAAATCAAAATGGCGGCCAAAATTAAAAATGGCCGCCAAGATGGCCGCCAAAATTCAGTATTTTGAGATACCCTTCCGCCAATTTACAATATTTGCAAAATTATGCAATATCTTGCATTATTTGTTATTCTTTTGTGTTTTAAACAAACACAAAAATCTTTGAATAGTTGCACATAACATTTGGCATAAGATATTGTGGTAAATATGACCGCCGGTGTAGGATTTTTATGGTTTTGCATTTAATGACTCATACTTCACGCTTTTTTTAGACATTTCGGACTTCACCTTATAACTTTTAATAAAATCAAGCTTAAAAGTTCAATTTTAATAACTTATTATCAATATAAGAACAATATTTTATACAGTGGTCACTGAAGACTTCTTTAAAATGTGTTAATTTAATGACGTTTTTCTTCTATACACGCAGTTTAATGACACATTTCTACTCTAAACGCCAGGTTCTCAGTTTAAAACGTATATTCAACAGAATACAATGTAACATTTTATGGTTACTGAATAATTTCTTGCATGTCAGACAGGATTATCTACCGTTTACACCGGTGCTAGAAAACTCTGTCTTACACCCACCATGTAAGACAAGTCGCGTGTTATAAATGACGTCATTGACGCGAGCCTTTTATGAATGGATTGCGTTCTTTGGATGACGTCACTTAACCGTTATGAATTAAATTGTCAGTTCATACGCTACTATAAGTAAAAAGTGCGTTATGAAAATATCCGTTTTTGCAATTTCTGTTTGAAAATAATTGATATGTTATATGCAAGAAAAAGAATCAAACACCGGCTGTCGGTACAGACAGGAATATCTAGCTCTCGGGTGACTGTTTACGGCGGAAACTCGGCAGAGCCTCGTTACCGCCGTAAACAGTGACCCTCGAGCTAGATATTCCGGTCTGTACCGGCAGCCGGTGTAAGATTCCTATAATCTAACACAATGTTTGAAATTTTGTAGCTTGTAACACCAGCTGTTAGATTTGCATGACGCTTTGCATGGAAGAATAGCTTTAGCACATTTACTTCCTCCAGTAGCCATTTTCCTAATTACAGCTTCATTATAACTGTTACATATACGATTTTTTTTGCTGGCCACAGAAGCTGTCGTAGAAATATTGGATCAGCTTTTTTGTCTTGACCAAGATTTGTAACCAAATTATCTATTGGCTTATATCGAAATCAAAGGGTTCTGTGGTGCCAAATTTAACAACTGGTCATCTTCACAGGGTTTTAAAAATCAAAAGAAATTCAAAGTGATTGCCACTAGGTTAAATATTTTTCAAGAAAAAATCAATTTTAAAGATTTTAGAAAGGTTAAACTATTCACAATTCCAGAAATAAATTAAATGTAATATACAATTAATGCGTAATTTTACCGTATTTTTTTACGTATTTGTAAGTGCTGTTTTTGTATATTCTGACCTACATATTGATTGGAAATATAAGGTTCTTTCTTAAATGGGTCAAAAAGTTGTGAAGGTGAATTCAATCGGTAATATCTATGATGAATCTGTGCAAGATCATAGCATTCAGCATAATTCAGTAACAAAATGCGAATGTGTAACTCTACTGTGTCACTTTGAACATCTCAGAAGACCAACCTGATCATAATGATTTAAAAGAGATAGAGATGGTGACACGTTCAGTCAGGGGTTTATATCATTCGTTCCAATTTGATTTCCATTCAGATGATATAAGTTTATTTAATGAAGGTTAAAAATCACAATTTTTGTAACAGTAAAGGTTGTGATTCTAAGGTTTCTTTAGATAAACTTTTCATTTCCTTGTAGTCCTTCGTGGCCCTGGATCCAACATAATTTTACTGCCTTGGTTTTTAATATATCATGAAATCACAACAAGAGCTTCTTTACCATAATATTATTAAATTTTCTATTTTTGATTGATATAAAATAGCACAGAGAGTGAATCTAAAAATGTTACAAATTATTATGCTGTAAATGTTTGTCAAGGCTAAATCGAAAGCTTTTGTTTCAGCAGTAAATATAGATACATAATCAGGTAGTCACATTCACGATGTAAAATGGTTTTTATAGACAACTGCACTTTCTTTGCAACAATCTTTGGAATCATCTGTGTAAATATGACTAAAATCTAGATGTTCTTGAAGCTTGAAAAATGTTCTTAAATAACATCAAGAGAAAAAGATGACTTTATTAATTTTGAAAGACTAATTTGAACTTCTGGAGAATTTAAGTTTACAGAGAAACATTTACAGCATTTTAAAGAATATGCTTTGGGTCTACTTAAAGTTTTTCTAAACTATGCTAGCTTCCTTTAGTTTGTTAAAATATTTGTAGTTGTAATTTGGTTGAAGCAGGACTTTTACCATTGATGATACCCTAGCTGCATATTGAACAAAAAGCTTTTCATCAGATGTTGAAGTCTTACTGTAAAGTTTCTGTCGACAGGAAAGAATAAAGATCGGAAAGTCAAATATTTTATCCTGCATCCTTTATATCTTTACGAATACCATGTTTCCATGCTGTATCATAAGGTTTTACAAGATCAAATCAAATTAAAGCTGAGTGTTGTTTATTTATTAAAGATTTTTTTATAAAATAATCGGGATGAATATGATACTTGTTTGTACTAAGTTGTTCACAGAAACATGACTGAAAGCTAGAAATTATTCCTTTTACTTCTAAATGCCATACCCAGAAATTATCTACCATTTTATCAAATGTTTTGCATAACTAGCTTGTAAGTAAAAGTGGAGGGTAATTTGCAGGGTCAGTGCTGTCCCTTTCAGGTCTAGGAATTGGGATAACCACAGCTCCTTTCAAACTTTTAGGAAATTCATAAGATAACGAAATGTTGTTACATATGTTTGAAGGGCACAAAATGACAGTAATTCAAGAGATTGATGAGGAAGGTGATTAAGAAATCATAGTAAATGACATCTGGACCTGCTGCTGTATCTTTTGCTTTCTTGATCGAAACAACTAAATCTTTGAAAGAAAAGAGAGAGTTCTCCTATAACTTTAGAATCTTAATGCTATAGAAACTCATTTGAAATACCTATTTGAAGAACAGTTTTTATGCTCCCCGAAAAATTTCCGGGGGAGCATATAGCCGTCGGGTTGTCCGTCCGTCCGTCAGTCCTTCCGTCAGTCAGCCCGTCCGTACGTACGTCCCGAATTCGTTTCCGGCCCATAACTTTGTTAATTGAAGTCGGATTTTAAAAGTATTTCACAGAAATGATCGCCATATTTAGACTACGTGTCGCGCGTAACATTTTGGTCGCTACCTTGAAGGTAAAGGTCACATCATAAACTTGAAGCAAAATAGTAACCATTTAGGTAAAACCAGTTTTCGATCAATAACTAAAAAACACTTAGGCCTAGGAAATTCAAACTTGGCAGGTGATAGGTCATGACCAGCAGATGACCCCTATTGATTTTGGGGTCAAGGGGTCAAAGGTCAAGGTCACATTGACCTTATAGGTAAGAACGGTTTCCGAGCAATAACTAAAGAACATTGTTATTTGAAGTCGGATTTTAAAACTATTTCACAGAGATAATCGACTTGTTGCGTGTAACATTTGGGTCGCTACCTTGAAGGTCAAGGTCACAGCATGACATTGCAGCAAAATGATGTCCGGCCCATAACTTCGTTATTTGAAGTCACATTTTACAACTATTTCACAGAAATGATCACCATATTGAGACAATGTGTCGTGCACAACATTTGGGTTGTTTTTACACTTTGAACTTTTTCTGTAACATTACTCTGACACTACAAGAGGTATACCTTCCTGTGTCCAAAACCTATTCGGGGAGCATCACCCGGTTCAACCGGCTCTTGTTTTGCAAATTTTTTTCTTCTTTATCTTTTTTGTTTTTGCATCTTGACAATTATTAGATTTCAATTGACTAGGTAGTGGGATATTTTTTTTAATTTACTTCTTATCTATCTAACTGCATCCCATACTTTCTTTAAAAGTGTTATTTGCATGTATAGCTGAAACATACGACTTCCATGACTTGTGCTAAAAGATGATGAATTGATCTACTAGCGTTGACTCTAAATAGTTCATGATGTTTTAGGTTTATGACAATCCTCGAATTTTTTAAGATAAACTTTCTATTGACTTATGGCTTTCTAACGTTTATCATTGATACATGGTTTCTTTATTTTGCAATACATTGTACATACTTATTTTGGTGGCTGGAATACTCTTGTCTTGTCAGCAATCTGTTATAATGTTGAAAAAAGGTAACAGCTATTTTATCAGAATTAAAATCAAAATCGGTCTGATTTCTTTTTAAAAATCAGACTACAGTAAGAAATCAAAAAAAAAAATCTCCAATAGAATTCGATTAACTTTAGAAAATGATGCCATAGGTACAAATGTAAAAGGGATATATGTTCTTTTTGTGTTTACTAGTATCTTAATTTTACCTTTTACCTCATATAGACGTGTTTTGACGGCTTTTCGCCCCCCTTGAGGCATCAAATCGTGAAAAATGTCCTATTTAGGACCCAAATACTGTTTTCGTATGAGAAATGTTGTTAAAAAAATGATCACTTATTCGGCGCCGCCCCATCAAAAAGGTACATCAAGAGGTTGCCAATAGGGAAATGTGCCCCCTACTGTTCGGAGGTTGGAAGGGGGAGGACCCCCTCATCTTCAAGAAAACTTTGGACATGTGACAGGCTTAAAATGATCTCAAGTCTATCTTAAGGTAACGTGTAACGAACGCTAAAAAGCATTTTACTCTATCTCAATCTATTGAGAAATTGCAGAACTTTGTAATCAGTTTTGATTAAAAAAAAACAATGCAAACTAGTGATTTTTCGCAATTTTGAGAAGTCACCCGTTTCCATGGAAACAGGAAATTATAGATTTAGCATGCAGTTACAGCGGCTTTGGTCCAGTCGACATTTGTGCAAGTTTTATCAGTATTGAAGCATTTTAATAGTTTCATTATAGTTTGAACATATAACAGGAAGCCATTAAATGAAAACGGCCATTTTTCACAATATGCTCATGCGGTAAAAGGTTAAATACATATATATAAAAATGAGAAATTGCACTTATATTTATAAATAAATCTGCAACTGAGCCAAACATCAGTAGGATTTTAAAGTTTTATTTTGACTATAGTGATTCTGTTGGAATTGCACAGAGGCAGCGTGTGTTATAACCATTATTTACACTAGGGTCTGTTTACCCCTCCCACTTTTCGCATCGCCTCAGTACCCAAGACAAAGAAAAGCCATAGGTGTAGCACACTTTTGTAAAATGACAAAATATATCATAAACTTGTTTACTAATGATTGTTTGATATACTTGATGGCTCATTTGAAGCACCAGTTAAAGTGAAACTTAGTTTTTGGTAATTAATTCGTTTTTTTTTTTTCATACATTTTATCAAGTATAAAATGGCTAAACATTTTATTTTATGAAAAAAATAATTTATTTAAAAAAAGTTCATTTTCAATATTTATATTTAACACAAATTATAAGAATATCCTAATTTGGTAGTTTCAACAAAAATATACAAGTATGTGAATATTACATAAAATTCAGCCGCCATCTTGGCGGCCATTTTGAGTTTTGGGAACCACATTGATTTTGAGCTTGGAATTAAATTCGATGGGGAAGATATCAAACTTTTAACATACAAAGTGGTTTGCTTGTAGAATTATCTAAACGATTCTTGCATTTTTCCCTAGGATGGACTCTAACTAGTACGTATAATATTGCAAAAAGGTAACAATTCGCGATAATAATGCCGTCAGGAAATAATATAGTCATAATGAATTTATCCGAGATATTAATGCAGCAATGAAACAAGTCAAGATAAAAAATGCCGTGGTTATATAATCGAAGATAATACTGAAGTCATGAAATAATCTGAGATATATCTGCCGTCATGAAATAATCCAAGATGATACTGCCGCCAAGAAACAATACGCGATAAAATTACACTCATTAAGTTATCCGAGATGTTACTGCAGTCTTGAAACAATCCGAGAGTTTACTTCCTTCATGTGACAATTCAACCTTTTACTGCCGTCAGGAAACCAGTGAAGCTATTGCTGACGTCATGAAACATCCGAGTTATTGATATCGTTTTGAACTAATATAATGTTCTATTACCACCATGCCATGAAACAATCGGAGCTTTACTGCCTTCGTGAAATAATCAGAGATACCACTGCAGTCTTGAAACAATCCCAGATGTTTTGAGTGATTTGGTTCCTGGTGGTAGGACATGTAAAACCCCAAACTTTAACATTTCTTTGTAATTTTTAAATGAATTTTTCGACGTGCTTTGACACAATAGCCTTTTTGACAAAATTGTTTAAGCATACCATATTTAACTTGATTTTGACCAATGTATTACCTTGTCATTTGAGAACAAATAATATGATTTAGCTTAGTTTGCATTATTTAGTAGTGATTTTCCTTTTGTTCTTTTCCTATAAAATGTTTTACATTTTACGTACTGGGTTTTAAACTTCGTTAGTTATTATATCTCATTCATAAGAAATACCATGTGGTGTTCTCTACATATCGTACTTTTTGGGTTTTATACCCTACATTTTGTCGATAACAAAACCTGTATAATTAAATACACATATAATCAAATTTGGCATAATTTATATTATATCGTTCTTATTACTGCGGACATAAAAGGGGTCATAAATCTATGTGTACAACAACTCTACCTTACTTTCATATTCAAAATTATCAATGTCTCCCTTGACAAAATGGTTTGAATTGTTATTGGGTGGTTTGTTTTGGAAGGGGGGGGTAGTGGATGGTCTGGAGACGGGACGAATGGTATGGGTTGCTTTTGTTAATTTCAATTCGGTAATTTGAGCTCGTATTTCAGGTGAAACATATTGTTTTTTTTTTTGTTTTGTTTTTTTTTTTTTTATTTCAGATAAGTCATATATCAACAACGATTGCAATACAACAAAATGATTTTAAAGCTTGGTGGAATGAGATTGAACAGGTGAGCACATTTCCCTTTCATAGTATTATTGTTATCTTTGTAACTTTTTAATCTATTTTAAATGAAGAAAGAATATTAAATACAATAAATAATGTATTCTTAAAAAAATTAAACATTAAATTGGATATTAGATACAAATTTAATGAATCATATAACATAATATTCCATATAATCATGTAGCGTCAAACATTTATACATATACATTTTTGACGCTACATGTACGTCAAAACAAACAAAAAATACCAAAACGAGCCAATTACCCCACGGAGACATTTAAGTATTAAAATTATTTAAAGCACTTCTCGCTCTATTTAAGCGACACCATTGAGGCTTTTCAACATGCCGGGACTGGAAATAATTTTTCGGACTATTGTTCCGTTTGAAGTATGCTTCGACTTCGAGAACAATTATTCTTACCGAGTAAAACGACTAGATATTGAAAAAGGCAACGCAAAAAAAACAAAATACAATTATGAGCTTACCTCTCTGAGGTGATTTCTGTCAAAATCTCCAATTTGAACTATGTAGGACTTTTATATTTAAGACTTTACGTTCAGATTAAGATCATTTAATTGGAAAATATTTTTCTGCAAATTTTGGAAAACTCCAACATGATGTGAAGTATTTTGACTTATCTGTGCGAAAGCTTGGTGCATTTAGACTTTAAAAAAAACAATGACACTAACAAGTATCAGTACTTTAAGAGCGTCACGATTTTCGGGTGCCAAGTGCATTTAATGCTTTACAATTTTCAGATGTCAAGTACTTTCAGTATTTCTCGATTTTCAAGTGTCAAGTACTCTCAGTGCGTCACATTTTTCAGGTGTCAAGTACTTTTAGTGTTTCACGATTTTAAGGTGTCAAGTACCTTTAGTGTTTCACGACTTTCAGGTTTCAAGTGCTTTCAGTGTTTCACGATTTTAGGTGTCAAGTACTTTCAGAGTTTGACTAAATTTCGATTTACAGTTTTTTTTCAGTGCGTTACAATTTACAAGTATCGGTGATTCAAGTCCTTCTTATTTATCAAGTACAAATAATTTCAGTACGTCACAATTTTCGGTAAATTTAAATGCTTTATATTGTTTAACAATTTTCAGGTTTCCCGTTCATTCAGTGCTTCCCAATTTTCATGATTAAAGTATTTAAAAAAATACACAATTTAAGGGTTTCCAGTATCTAAAGTGCATCACAGTTTTTAGGTTGTGCAATACTTTAAGTTCTTCACTAATTTCAGGTTTTAATTTCTTTCAACGCTACCAAAGTTTGATGTTTCTAGTTATAACAGTGTTTCCAAAGTTTCAGGTTTTCCGGTACATGTAGTGATTAAATATTTCATGCTCCCGGTTTATTCAGTGCTTCACAATTTTTAGCTCGATTTTTTTTAAAGTAGAGGTATTTTTATAGTCCTGGCGGCGATGCCACTGCCGTTGCCGATGCCGTTGTGGTTGCCGTCCGCAAACTTGTACCTGGATCAAAACTTTTTTAGTTCTTGCTAAATTTTCGCATACTCTTGGCCACAACAACCCTTGGGACAAAACCTTTCACTAGACCACACTTACCTTGACCTTCATCCATAAATGACCTTGACTTTTAAAGTCAAAATCCAAATTTTGTTTGTTCTTGCTATTATTAGCTGTAACTTTGTTATTTTTGAATGGATTGTCTTCAAATTTTAACATAAGGATATTTAAGGATAACCCTTAAAAATAACCAGGAAAACTTTCACTCATAATGACCTTGATATTGAATGTCAAATTATTGATATTTTCATTGTTTGGCTATTATTGGTTGTAGCTTTGTATTTTTTGATGGATTGTCTTCAAACTTGAACATAATTATCTTCAAGGATAACACTTTTAGGTATTACCATCCTAATGCATTACTTCCGCTTTGAAGAGTATTCAAATAGGCTAGAACTACTGATAACTACATTGAAAACTGGGGCCGTGGGTCAATCCCCAGAAGAGTCAATTTTTTCTTCTTCTTTTTCTTTTAACATTATTTATGTGTCTCTCATATCCCATTTGGAAAGAAATAGTGTTTAATTATGATTTTTTAATCTATAAAGGTATAAATTGGCTCAATTATGCTAAATCTAGTAATAAATATGGTACCTGATATTTTCAAAGTGAAATCGAATCAAAACTAGACTGTAAAAGTATTTCATATTTTACAAGATCAACCAATATACTTCTTAAAAATTTTAAGGAAACTCATTTGGGCAAATTTTAACGATTTTTTAGATTTGCCTGCCTAAGTAAAAATATGGTCAGACACGTGCTAAAATGGTGGGGTAGGGTAACTTTTTTATACAGCTTTCATAAATTTTAAGTAGAAACCATAATTTTGCTTATGTGGATTGTTAATTGAATGGTACTTTTTGTTTCTTACCAAAAATTAATGGGAAAACATTTTCATAAGAATGTTTTAATTGCAGATTATTTAAAGGTTCCTCAGTTCTAAAAAGGGCCCTCATAACATTCTAGCTTGAGTTCAGAAAAGTGGCCATAACTTGATTTGCGTACGGTAAAATTTGTTTAAATGTTGCATACAGGTGTATCTGACCTATGATGTCATTTTTAGTTCCTTATAGTGCCCATTAGGGAGGTAATACCTTAAAATAACTTGACAGACCTTGACCTTCACTCGTAAAGGGCATTGACTATGAAGGTCAAATTATTGAAATTTTCAATTTTTGGCTATTATTTGCTGTAACTTTGCTATTATTGAATGGAGTAACTTAATATTATAACAAAATATTCTTAAGGACAAGACCTTTATGTTTATCAAATTAAATAACTTGGGCAAATTTATAACCTTGACCTTGAAGGTTTAATTACTGAATTTCCACTGAATTGTGCATTAAATGGCCATATATATTTATTGGTGTGTAAAGATTTTTGGAGAAACAGTACATGTTTATCGTGTAGTAAAATGGGCATAAGGTTAATGATATATATAAATATTGACCTAAACACAAATTTGTTGTTAATTTTTCCACAAGGTAGAAAGTTTACACAACGTGTTGGAAGGGCGAACATTTAATTAACAAAAAATTAAAAAAACAAAAACTAATTAACTAAATCGATGCTGATAAGATAAAGAAATATTCACCCAAAAACAGATAAGGAATTTATCAAATGGAAAAACAAAATACAGATAAAAATAACGTGGTTAAATCTCACAAACCAAAAAAAATTCCTAAGTATCGATAAAAAGAGTATATATGTTGAAATTCGATCGCATGACGGATAGATTGATATATATATATATATTGCATATATGTAATAATTATATATATCAATTGCAGAAATTTAAAGAAATCTAGAAAATTCTCCCTGAATATGTCAGTTTTAAATAAATTAATTTATTATCTATGTTAAGGAAGGTGCATTCCCTATTACTTGTCAAATAAATTTGGTCTATTCTATATATTGATAGAAAATTTCTTTTTTTTTCTTTAGAAATACACATGCGGATATATATGGAATAGATTCATACTTTGACAAAACTAATGTGACCCGACTTACTACATGTGACATGTATAAAAGACATTGACTCCCATTGCATTCATTGTTTCCCATAGCATACAGTGATTTTCTATATTTCCCTGGGAACCATTTTATTTCTAAGCTACTATTTACTTTCCATATATTTTTAATCAGAGCATCAAACATTGACTTCCAAAGTTTTGTAAAATCACCAGTTAATTCTTCAATCACTTATGATTTTTCTCAGCAATAACAACCCATACACGTTTTTTTGAATTTACACGATTTCAAATGCAGATATGGATATGACCTTTGTGATATCAGTAAAAGACTAAGACTTAATATCTGATTTTATTGATATTAAACAGTGTTTATTGTCCCTTGTCATCAAGAACCTTTATAATAAGTAGGGCCATCATGACTATTGTTCAGCAAGTTTTGTTTTTAATGTATAATATTTTTATAAACAGATCAATTGTTGGGTCAACATCTTCCATAAACTATTATAAAGATCATCAAACATCGAAATTTTAATTATAAATTATTCATTTCTGGTTTAAGATACTTGTTCGTCGAAGTTCTCCAGCTTTGAATATTCAGCAAACAATAAGCGAATTCAAATCTTGCCCTCTTGATCTGGAAGAAGAGAGAAGGATACAGAAAGAAATAAAAAAATGGAAGGACTATGAAGACGATGTTGACCGACTAAAACAGGAAATGACAGACTTAAAAGAAAATGTTACTGACGTGAAAAAAAACATAGAAGACGTAAAGAGAAATGTAACTGAAGTGAACAAAGACCTTGGAGATATAAAGGAAAATGTAACTGATGTGAAAAAAGACCTAGAAGACGTAAAGGTAAATGATACTGCAATGAAGAGAGACCTTGAAGACATAAAGGAAAATGTGACTGATGTGAAGAAAGACCTAGAAGACGAAAAAGTAAATAATACTGCAATGAAGAGAGACCTTGAAGACATAAAGGAAAATGTGACTGACGTGAAGCAAGACCTTGAAGACGTGAAAGTAAATGATACTGCAGTGAAGAGAGTTATTAAAGACATAAAGGAAAATGTAACTAATGTGAAAAAAGACCTTGATGAGATCAAAATTCGGCAAGGGGCAGGTTTGTTATCTTTTAAGCTTAACTATTTTATTGTTTAATGAATTGGACATTATTGACATCTTTATAGATAGGCTGAAACAATATACCACAATACATGTACATACAAATGCTCTAAAACTTTTATGAATTTTAAATTTTCATGTCAAAAGCAATTTTTTTTAAACCTAAGGCAATATATAAATCAATAAATACAAACATGTACTTCTTTAGGGTTTTCCTCCTGACATTTCCAATTCGTGATAACAATCAATATTTTTCTGAAGATATGTTTACAAACTTCATAAATCTCCGCTTGTCGGTTTGATATGGTTGATAAATCCCTTTCCAGACCATTGCCATTGCCAGGTATGTCACCAATATAACAGTGTTTAAGAAAAACGAAATTGTCCCTTTCAAAAACTTGGTAAACACTTGGCATGGCATTATTATTATTATACTCGATTCCTTCTACTTTTTCAACGTTTTACACTTTATAATCAACCATATTACCCCTTCCAACAGAAAATACTTATTTATTTATTATTTACATTAACCTTTTGGTTATTTGAGATTCATGTACATAAATAAAGGATCACCCTCAAATATACTTATATGATGTTATTTCATTGATACGCCCCATGGCGTAAACACAATGAAAATAAGAGAATCCCTTTCTCATTTCTACTTTTAATATCTAATTTTAAACCCTTTTAATTTTTACTTTTACAATCCAAAAAAAATCTTTTATTTTCTATATAACAATTTTCTACAACAAAATACATTTCACTGCAATTTTAATATCTCAACAAAATCCCTTTCCTTTCTCTGTAAAAACCTTTGCGGTCTCTATTTATGCAATAACATCATAAAAAGCACATGGATAAGTATGTGGCAGGATATTTAAATGTCGGGAAATTTATTAGGAGCAATGGAATATCATAAAACTTTGGCGCGCAAACCAAAGAAGTAACAACATTAATGTTAAAAAGGAGCATATTCAAAGAACAGCATTGAAATACAAAGTATGCAATAATGATCGCTATGTTAGCGACACCCTGCAGGTGTTTAATAGCTTGTGGCTAACTGTAGGTCATGCCGTCTGATTGTCTGTCTGTGCTTTTATTCTGAAACTGCTGAACAAATTTAAATGAAACTTGAAAGACATGTTCATAATTTCTTATTCTTCTCATATTGTTAGGAATAGTACTTGAACAATCAATGACCTTGACCGTATAAGTAAAGTCCTCATTTTTGTTAGAATTGGTTATTATTTGCTTTAACTTGTTATAAATGTTTGTTTTGAATTCATACTTTGACATAACTACCCTTTTAACATACATCCAGGATAACTTAATGTGATCTTGTTCTTAATTTGACATTGACATTAATGATAAAAATACTGTATCGGCCATTAGTTTGCTAAAATCGAGTGGTTTGGGTGATACTTGGTCAAAACAGCACTTATCTAAAATCGGTTTTGATGAGCAACACAAGTTTTTTCCTTAAGATTAAAATGACATTGACTTTTGGGGTCAAAATATAGAATTGTTCTCTTATTGGCTTAATATTTGTTATTTTGATGTGTCTCGAGTATAAGTTTCTAAGTTAATGTCTTCAAGTAGGTCAAACTGAACTTTATCTTGGCGTTAACAGAACCTTGACCGGAATATGGTATTTTTTTGCCTCAATTTGACATAACGTTTTTATCATAGGAGTTCTTAATACTCAGACAAGCCATATAATTGTCGTGTTAAGCAGTTCAAGTATGACATTGATCTTACAATGACATGGACAGGTTCGACCAAATTATTGAATTTACTTACAATTTGCATAATTTTGTAATAAATAGACTTGTATTGGAATAAATATCGCCTACGATAAAACCGTAAAGTTTATTAATCGAAATATGTCATTGACCTATGATGTTACATTATTGAAAGTTCATACATTTGGCCAAATACATTTAGAAAAATATATTTTTGAAAAATAAGTGATGATATTGACTTATATCAACATAATATTGTTGTATTTTTTGTATTGCATAACAGAGAAAAGTAACGAAACCGATTCATCAGTACAAACAGAGGAGAGAAAATATCAAAATCGCAAGAAGGGTAAGTTAATTTTGAACAACCATCATATTTAGTAAAACAATGCTCTTTGTCTGTCGTCAGTACAGATCACCTTCCTCGGAGCGTTGGAGTTATTAACATCCTTCTTGCAACAATATCGTCGAGATATAGTGGCATCGAATACGGTGGCAAGGGCGGTGAGTGCCGTCTAAATAATTTGCCAGATAACTGTCACTGGTTTCCAATGTGACTGTGACATGAAGCTGTTATAAGTTGTGAATATTTCGTGTCGTACACGGTAAGATGACTAGTTCTACAAATTTATTGTTCTGCAATATTTGCTGGTAACCTTTGTTGCCTGTCAAAGTCCCAATTTATTTTAAAAAAAAAGGAAAAATGTTATTCAAAACTATGCAATGAATGTATGTTTTTAACAATTTTATATGTAAGCGACTGAAATTGGGGTGATCCCTCAGAAGTAAAGTAAAAAAATAACAACAAAATAGCAGACTTCGTTTGATTGAGTCTATTTATGACGGAAAAAAGTGCAACATCCTCTGTGCCTCTTTCTATCAGCTTTTAGAGCGGTATTCAATTTTCAACACTTAATGTGCTAGGATCAATGTCCGCATAAAATAATATCGAAAATATATTATATGATATAAAAGCCCTTATTGCAGCTTGATGATGTAAATTATAAGTTCATCAAAAAAGCTAGCATGAGAACATTAAAACGTCTGGGAAATAGAGCTATTTTCAGTGGCAGATTTTAAATTTTTCTATGACAGGGTACTGACCTTTTTACAGATAATAGGTACATATTACTGCTTCAATGTCCGAAATCATGTGATGAACCTGAGATGTAACACTTATTTAACATGACAAAGGCCAGTGTTATAACAAACTTTTTTAACTGTGACTTCCATTTTACTTCAGTTATCTGTCATTTTATGTACCTTGAGTGTTGGTAAGTTTAAACTATTTCAACAAGTTGCGTAAACATTTTTATAAAAAGAAGGGCTATACTATTACCTATAATAAGGCAATTAACATATACAAGACACTGTTAATTAGTTTCCAAACAATTACTTTAAACAGCCTTTTTAGCAACGTATGAAAAACTTGTTAGCGATTTGAATACAGCGGTATGAATAGCTTCTTTCCGCAAGATGGATAGAACTGTTCGAAAAGTATTTGGTGGTTTGTTTGGTATCCTGCTGGACTCCTTAACGGCGGCCTTGTGATGCTGGATTGTGTCTGAACTCCGCCTTTTCGTGATAAGCTTATTTTACATATTTTTCCAAATTGGTGCTTATTGCTGTATCTGTATCTTGCGCTGTCCTTAGAAATCTAAAACGACTAAAGCCTGCAACACATTACACTCCGAATTGGTCCTACGATGGGGTACCGATGTCTGAACGAACGGCCTGAAATTATCAATTTTTTTAAGGTCTCCGGCCGGTGACCCTCCGGTGTCAAGTCACCGGTGAGACACCGTACGGGTAATCGGATAATTTTAGCGCGCAGTTATTTTCTTGCGGCATCCGGTACATCGCCAGCTCACCACAACAGAAACGGTAAAATACTCTCCGATACCCGGCCGGACACCTTTTGATATCGGTTGCATGTTGGTGAAAATTTTCACATTTTCACAATAATCCTCCAGTTTTCGAGCGATATCCGAGCGGTCATCGAAGGCGACTCGGCAGGTAACCGGATGGGATCCGGATAGACGCAGTATGCTGAACGTATGGTCTTAAGGTGCCCTTAAGGATAGCGTTTGGAGTATTAAACAGACTTTACGACAGGTTAAGCGTTGAACTGTGAACTAGGCGACCCGTGTTCAATTCTCGGACGTTGCAGTTTACTTTCGTGCAGTTATCAATTTCTAATTAAAGTATAGGAAATTATTTCTGTATACCTGCTTGACAGACTGTCAAGGAACGATGCCGTGGCTGAACTGCGCTTACTGAGGTGATCTGGAGGGTAATCACAAATGTACAAACACCAAATACTATTCTTTCGTTAACCAGTCTTCAGAGTTCAGTCGGAAAAATCGCTAGATTTGTAATCTCGACATTGTGGTTTCGATTCCGGGCTGGCCAACTAAAAGTTCTGTGAACTATTTTGGTCGAGACTTAAAATTGAGGTCCCGTGTATTAGTGCTTTATATAATGCTTGGATTGCATAAGAAGAAGGAGAAGCTTCATGGCTTTGCCTTGTGCACTCTCGTGGTTTGTTTGGTATCCTGCTGGGCTCCTTAACGGCGGTCCTGTGATGCTGGATTGTGACGGGTTTCCTTTATTGAACTCTGCCTTTTCGTGTTACGCTTATTTTACACATTTCTCTAAATTGGGGCTTATTGCTGTATCTGTATCTTCCGCTGTCCTAAGAAATCTAAAACGGCTAATACACTTCTGGAGGAATCGCTTGTACGGGCAACCGATGGCCAGAATAAAGAAACTTAATTACTCACATATATTCTCTCATTAAAGTTTTGCGTTTTCACACAGTCAGTTTTCAAGTTTCATTTACAATCTTTTATCAGAAACTTTGATTTCAAGGTGCAATATGCCTTCCAAAACAGCCAGTAAAGAAAGGTGCGAAAGAAGGCAGAGGGGGAGGGAGCAACTTAACCCAAAACATAAGGGAAAAGACCAGCAGAAGAACGGCAGGAAAGAGCGAGAACATGCCATACGAATACCGTCCGACAGCCTGTCGGATATCTCTGCCTAAATATACTCTGCCTATTCACTTAAGAATATCAATTGGTGTCCAGAAAGAAGATGCCAAGTGTTTTCACCGGATGACCGGATGAATACACTTTGGAGTTTGTCCGAATAACTAGCGGACCACAGAGGGTGAATGACCACCCATTTCTTTCCGGACATGATTGAAAATTATCAATGGTGTCCCATCGATCTCTCTTTATCGGCTGGACCCCGCTTGTTATGTGACGTAGGCATAATACTCTTCTGGAGGAATCGCTTGTACGAGCAACCGATGGCGAGTATAAAGAAACTTAATTACTCACATATATTCTCTCATTAAAGTTCTGCGTTTTCACACAGTCAGGTGTTTTTTAACGTTTTTAAGTTCCATTTACAATCTTTTAATGGAAACTTTGATTTCAAGGTGTAATATGCCTTCCAAAACAGCCAGTAAAGAAAGGTGAGAAAGAAGTCACAGGGGAAGAGAGCAAGTTAACCCAGAACACAAGGGAAAAGACCAGCAAAAGTGGGTACATGAAGAACGGCAGGAAAGAGGGAGAACATGCCATACGAATACCGTCCGACAGCATGTCGGATATCGCCCGGCATTTGTCCGTATACTTTACAGTCACTCTACGATGGCTCTAAAACCGACCGGATTACGGAAGGCAATCGGGCAATTACCGTACGATACTCTGCCTATTCACTAAAGAATATCAATCGGTGTCAAGAAAGAAGATGCCAAGTGTTTTCTCCGGGTGACCGGGTGAATACACTACGGAATCCGTCCGAATAACTAGCGGACCACAGAGGGTGAATGACCACCATTTCTTTCCGGACATGATTGAAATGTTTCTCTCCGATCTAAAATTATCAACGGTGTCCCATCGATCTCTCTATATCGGCCGGTCCCCGCTTGTTATGTGACGTAGGCATAAACCTGTGTATATGGTCAGTACCGGCAAGTTCAATATAAAGGTTATTATAGCCTCTGTCCACAAGTTTATGAAAACAGTCTGTATAGTTACACATAACAATACTTTAGTGGGATATAACGGTATTTAATGCCTCTGTCAGCAAGTGGGATTAAGAGATTAATATACGACAGAGTAGGGCCGGAAGGTGATAATCGACCCGCAAAATGAATAATGGTCCCGATGGCTTCAGCCCGAAGGCATTATTCATTTCAGGGCATATGGTCACTCTCTGGCACAATTTAGACGTATAATGTCTTTAATACACTTGGTAGATCTAGTAGCATTTTTCTTAAAAGAAATACTTTGAAATTTCTTGCGTTGAAATTCCTGTCTGCATTTCTACTGTACAGTACAGTAACTTCTACAGAGTTGTTTACTTTTTGTATGTTCAAAGTTCACTTCTGTACTGTAGAATCTAGAAGCAAGTTTTAATATTATTATTTTTTTTGGAATGAATTTGTCCTATTATTTCTTTAAATTTCAATAGTAATAAAACTGTGTGTGTACGAAATACGCTTCAGCTCTCATAATAAAATCAAGCGAATTATGCTTAAATCCTACTTTCACTTTTACAGTTAATTGTTTGATGACGTAAAATGTTACGTCATTGTTTCAGTTTGTGCACGTGCACATGTTCAGCGGGCTAGTAACTAGTTCTCGGCCCTGGGCCGCAAACTCATAATCGGTCATGTGACACTCATAATCAGTTAAAATCATAGGCGATTTTGTTACTATATATAGTAACAAGTGTATTAAATAAGCATTGTATACATACCGGTCTCAGTAAGACCATTGTACACAATGTTAAATAACGGTATTTACTACCTCTGTCAGCAAGTGCGATATAACAATATTTACTGTCTCTGTCAACAAGTGGGATATTACGGTGTTTACTGCCTGTCAGCAATTGGGATATAACGGTATTTACTGCCTATATCGGCAAATGGGATATAAAAGTATTTATAGCTTCTGTCAGCAAGTGGGATATAACGGTATTTACTGCCTCTGTCAGAAAGTGGGATGTAACGGTATTTATAGCCTCTGTCAGCAAGTGGGATATAACGGTATTTACTGCCTCTGTCAGCAAGTGGGATATAACGATATTTACTACCTCTGTCAGCAAGTGGGATATGCCAGCAATAAGCATATAACGGGATTTATATATTGTGTCAGCAAGTGACATATAACAGTATTTATAGCCTCTGTAAGCAAGTTGGATATAACGATATTTACTGCCTCTGCCAGCAATAAGCATATAACGGGATTTATATATTGTGTCAGCAAGTGACATATAACGGTATTTATGCTCTCTGTTAGCAAGTGGGATATAACGGTATTTGCTGCCTCTGTCAGCAAGTGGGATATAACAGTATTTATAGCTTCTGACGGCAAGTGGATTATAGCGGTATTTATTGCCTGTCAGCAAGTGGGTATTACAATATTGATAGCTTCTGTCAGGAAGTTGGATATAACGGTATTTATATCTTCTGTCAGCAAGTGGGATATAATGGTATTTTACTGCCTATATCAGCAAGTGTGATATAACGGTATTTTACTGCCTTTGTCGCCAAGTGGGATATAACGGTATTTTACCGCCTATGTCACCAAGTGGGATATAAATGTACGTCTATATTCTCTGTCTGCAAGTTTGCAAGTTAAATATGACTAAATGTTTATTGTTAAGCTCGAATAGACAAGTCGAATTTAGCATAATGTATAGCTTCTTTCGGCAAGAGGGTTATAACTATATGTTTAGCTTGTGTAGGCAAGTAGAATCACTATATGTTAAGCTTGTGTAGACAAGTGGAGTCATTATATGTTCAGCTTGTGTAGGCAAGTGGAATCACTATATGTTTAGCTTGTGTAGACAAGTGGAATCACTATATGTTTAGCTTGTGTAGACAAGTGGAATCACTATATGTTAAGCTTGTGTAGGCAAGTGGAGTCACTATTTGTTAGCTTGTGTATACAAGTAAAATCACTATATGTTAAGCTTATATAGGCAAGTAGAATCACTATATGTTTAGCTTGTGTAGACAAGTAGAATCACTATATATTTAGCTTGTGTAGATAAATAGAATCACTATATGTTACGCGTTTGTAGACAAGTAGAATCACTATATGTTAAGCTTGTGTAGACAAGTAGAATCAATATATATTAAGCTTGTGTAGACAAGTGGAATCACTATATGTTAAGCTTGTTTAGACAAGTAGAATCCCTATATGTTAAGCTTGTGTAGGCAAGTGGAATCACTATATGTTTAGCTTTTGTAGACAAGTGGAATCATTATATGTTAAGCTTGTGTAGACAAGTGGAATCACTATATGTGAAGCTTGTGTAGACAAGTAGAATCACTATATGTGTAGCTGGTGTAGAAAAATAGAATCATTATATGTTAAGCTGGTGTAGACAAGTGGAATCACTATATGTTAAGTTTGTGTAGACAAGTAGAATGACTATATGTGTAGCTTGTGTAGACAAGTGAAATCACTATAAGTTAAGCTTGTGTAGACAAGTAGAATCACTATATGTTAAGCTTGTGTAGGCAAGTGGAATCACTATATGTTTAGCTTGTGTAGGCAAGTGGAGTCACTATATGTTAAGCTTGTGAAGGCAAGTGGAGTCACAATTTGTTTGGCTTGTGTAGGCAAGTAGAATCACTATATGTTAAGCTCATGTAGGCAAGTAGAATCTCTATATGTTTAGCTTGTGTAGACAAGTAGAATCACTATATGTTTAGCTTGTGTAGATAAATAGAATCACTATATGGTACGCGTTTGTAGACAAGTACAATCACTATATGTTAAGCTTGTGTAGACAAGAAGAATCAATATATGTTAAGCTTGTGTAGACAAGTGGAATCACTATATGTTAAGCTGGTGTAGACAAGTGAAATTACTATATGTTAAGCTTGTGTAGGCAAGTGGAATCACTATATGTTTAGCTTGTGTAGGCAAGTGGAGTCACTATATGTTAAGCTTGTGAAGGCAAGTGGAGTCACAATTTGTTTGGCTTGTGTAGGCAAGTAGAATCACTATATGTTAAGCTCATGTAGGCAAGATAGAATCACTATATGTTTAGCTTGTGTAGACAAGTAGAATCACTATTTGTTTAGCTTGTATAGATAAATAGAATCACTATATGTAACGCGTTTGTAGACAAGTAGAATCACTATATGTTAAGCTTGTGTAGACAAGAAGGATCAATATATGTTAAGCTTGTGTAGACAAGTGGAATCACTATATGTTAAGCTGGTGTAGACAAGTGGAATCACTATATGTTAAGCTTGTGTAGACAAGTAGAATCACTATATGTTAAGCTTGTGTAGGCAAGTGGAGTCTCTATATGTTTAGCTTGTGTAGACAAGTGGAATCACTATATGTTAAGCTTAGGTAAACAAGAAGAATATCTATATGTTAAGCTTGTGTAGACAAGTGGAATCACTATATGTTAAGCTTGTGTAGACAAGTAGAATCACTATATGTGTAGCTTGTGTAGAAAAATAGAATCACTATATGTTGAGCTGGTGTAGACAAGTGGAATCACTATATGTTAATCTAGTGTAGACAAGTATAATCACTATGTGTTAAGGTTGTGTAGACAAGTAGAATCACTATATGTGTAGCTGGTGTAGAAAAAATAAAATCACTATATGTTGAGCTGGTGTAGACAAGTGGAATCACTATATGTTAAGCTTGTGTAGACAAGTATAATCACTATATGTTATACTTGTATAGACAAGTAAAATCACTAATATGTTCAACTTGTGCAGACAAGTAGAATCACTATATGTTAAACTTGTGTAGACAGGTAGAATCACTATATGTTTAACTTGTGTAGACAAGTGGAATCACTATAAGTTAAGCTTGTGTAGATAAGTAGAAGCACTATATGTTAAGTTTGTGTAGGCAAGTGGAATCACTATATGTTTAAATTTTGTAGACAAGTGGAATCCTCATATGTTCAGCTTGTGTAGACAAGCAGAATCACTATATGTGTAGCTGGTGTAGACAAGTGGAATCACTATATGTTAAGCTTGTGTAGACAAGTATAATTACTATATGCTTAACTTGTGTAGACAAGTGGAATCACTATATGTTAAGCTTGTTAAGATAAGTAGAATCCCTATATGTTAAGCTTGTGTAGGCAAGTGTAATCACTATATGTTTAGCTTTTGTAGACAAGTGGACTCATTATATATTGAAGCTTGTGTAGACAAGTAGAATCACTATATGTTAAACTTGTGTAGGCAAGTGGAGTCTCTATATGTTAAGTTGGTGTAGACAAGAAGAATCACTATAGGTTAAACTTGTGCAGACAAGTAGAATCACTATATGTTAAACTTGTATAGACAAGTAGAATCACTAATATGTTCAACTTGTGCAGACAAGTAGAATCACTATATGTTAAACTTGTGTAGACAAGTAGAATCACTATATGTTAAACTTGTGCAGACAAGTAGAATCACTATATGTTAAACTTGTGCAGACAAGTAGAATCACTATATGTTAAACTTGTGTAGACAAGTAGAATCACTATATGTTTAACTTGTGTAGACAAGTAGAATCACTATATGGTAAACTTGTGTAGACAAGTAGAATCACTATTTGTTTAACATTTGTAGACAAGTAGAATAACTATATGTTAAACTTGTGTAGGCGACTAGAATCACTATATATTTAACTTGTGTAGGCAAGTGGAGTCACTTTATGTTAAACTTGTGTAGACAAGTGGAATCACTATATGTTGAGCATGTGTAGACAAGTGGAATCGCTATATGTTAAGCTTGTGTAGACAAGTAGAATCACTATATGTTAAGCTTGTGTAGACAAGTGGAATCACTATATGTTAAGCTTGTGTAGACAAGTAGAATTACTATATGTTAAGTTTGTGTAGACAAATGGAATCATTATATATGTTAAGCTTATGTAGACAAGTAGAATCACTATATGTGTAGCTGGTGTAGAAAAATAGAATCACTATATGTTAAGCTGGTGTAGGCAAGTGGGATCACTATATGTTAAGCTTGTGTAGACAAGTAGAATCACTATATGTGTAGCTTGTGTAGTCAAGTGGAATCACTATATGTTAAGCTTGTGTAGACAAGAAGAATTACTATATGTTTAACTTGTGTAGACAAGTGGAATCACTATAACTTAAGCTTGTGTAGATAAGTAGACTCACTATAAGTTAAGTTTGTGTAGGCAAGTGGAATCACTATATGTTTAACTTTTGTAGACAAGTGAAACCACTATATGTTACGCTTGTGTAAACAAGTGGAATCAATATATGTTAAGCTTGTGTAGACAAGTGGAATCCTTATATGTTCAGCTTGTGTAGACAAGCAGAATCACTATATGTGTAGCTGGTGTAGACAAGTGGAATCACTATCTGTTAAGCTTGTGTAGACATGTAGAATTACTATATGCTTAAATTGTGTACACTGCGAAAAAGACATGGATATACGGAAGTGTACGGAATTCCGTATATCATTAATATACGTGTAAGAATACGGGA